TATATTTAAATTCTTCTCTCTTTCTCTCTCTATAGCTAACCTCCTTTATATTTTTTATTTATCTTCTTTTTGCATCTTTCTTCAGTACATGTTACAAGTTCCTTAAGAATTTTTGATGAATCATTATTATCAAGATAGTTTAATTAAATCTTCACAAGCATTTTTGTTTTATAATAAGCTTCGCTCAAATTTCTAATGCTGTTGGATAAATTTTTAACTTAATGCACCGTTCAAGTTAGCAAGTGCTTTTTTATATATTCCCATTTGTAATAAGTTTCTCTTCGAATTTCCAATATAGGTGACTCATTAGGATAAATTTCTAATAACTTACTTAAATCCTCAATTGCATCTTTCTACACACCTTGAGATAAAGTTTTTCTCAAAATAACAATCAATGTAAATATGTTATTTTGTTTAATATTCAATGATTTAGATAAATTCTGAAGTGCTACTTCATATTTGCATATATGGTGATATTGCATAGTTAATATATTTAATATGTTTAACATGCTCCTATCATTTGGCCCAATTCTCCAGACGATTTAAACATGTAAATAAATCTGTAAATTTATCTTCATGAGTTATTATTTCATATAGAAGAACTCCTTGACAATTCAAGAATTATAAATACATAAAAAAGAACAACTATTAAAGCAAATTTGCAAAATAGTAAAGCAGATAAAGAAAGCTATATAGATTTTTAAAACCTAAATTTATATATTTTATTAAATGTTAATATTATCTATCACTATTGATACAGTCGAATTTTTTATAAATTCAATTATATTTACATTTGAATATTGGTTTTGAAATTCGAAGTCTGTCTAGATTTTCTATGCAAAATAAAAATAAAAAAAATAAAATAAAATACTGTATATAGTGTACACAAACAATAAATTAATATATATGCATAATAAGAATAATTATAAAAAAAAGTATAGTGTTATAAATAAAAAAACAATATCTTTAATTTAAATTATTTGCTACATCCCAAAGATTTTTATCGTGGTTCTCATGATCTTGTATTTTTGGTGCATCTTTTGTGCCACACTTCAACAAATTTTGAATTATGTCAGAGCTTGTGATATGTATACTGTATATACTTTTCAGATAGCTTTTAATCGTTAGGCTGATCTTAGCTTATGCAGGGTTATTTTAATATCACATTTTTTAAATAGTGATGGAGAATTGCGTTTTAGTGTAGTAGTGACTAGCTCTCAGGACCTGGGCATTGCCCTACCATAAATGAAGCAAAAATAAAGCAATATGTTCTCTAGTGGAAGAAGTGCAGGTTGAGAATTTGATAGATTTCCAAACGATTCAGATCTTTCGATATACGTTTTGGTGGGGCAGTCATTTCCTGCAAGAATAATTAATTTAATGTTTTGTTTGTACGAATACACGAGCAAGTAGCACCCTAATATTACACGTTAGGAAATTCTGTTCAAACTGCATTTATGCAGCTAATTCAAAGTCAGTTAAAATATGTAAATATGATATTATAGTATGACTTTCACTAAACTCTATTAAGCCTTGATTTCTTATTTGCTTTGTCAAAATATAGTTGGAACAGTTTTAAAAGTTCCATCCATTAGGGGGTTTCAGAATTAACTTTTTTTCAAAATAAGTGGGAGTTTAAAAGGACCTATTTTCTTTTTAAAATTAATTAAATAGGCATAGCCGGTGATAAAATTAGCTTTTTTTTGATAAACTTTCATCGGTAAATGATTTTGTAAATAAGTACATACTTTTAAAAAATAGAATTTATACGTTGCTTATTTTGAAATAAATACGTCACTTATTTTATCTGAAATCGGACACCGAATCATTAATTCTGAAACCCCCTATTATCCAAATATTTTCTTCTTAAATTATTATTTATTGGACCCATTATTGGCATATGTGTTCCTTTATAATTTTTGCTTCTGCCCGAGCTCGTTGACAGCATGGCTATGATCATTTGACTTTCAGGAAAGTGATTTTTACCAATTAAAATTTTCCATTTAAATATAATAATATTACAATTGCTTGGAAGAGCAACTCAAGTTGATACACAAATTTAGCCAGCTGTAACTCTGGATTGAGTTAGCTTCTAATCGGGAGGGATTCATTCATCAATGATGCGTAGTGGGGAATTAATGAAAGATATATCATTATTACTGTTCGATCTGATTTATAAACTAGGGCTACTGACGCTTTTATATGTTTTAGATCTATATTATCCACACACAGCCTAACGCACAAATACTGTAAACAATAATAATAACAATAACAAAAATTAAAGTTGAAAATTATAATTTAGCATATAAACACACTGTATTGATCTAGCGCTAAATATTTATAATAAGCTATTTATTTTATTCATGCCAATTTATGAGGTACTCACTGTATGATGAGTATTTATTAATCAAAGTTATCAAGTTACAATGATTTACTATTTTATTCACATTAATTTAGGATTTGAATAAAATTATCAAGTTATAGATTTACTATTTATTCGAGATAAAAGAACATCATTAATCCAAGTATGAAAATAAACTTTGAGAAGTTTCAGAATTAATGCCATTTTAGATAAAACAAGTAACATAATTGTTTCAATAAGAAACCTATAAACTCCGACTTTTTTTTTTTTTTTACATAACTCGCTTACTTGTAGATATTTATCAAAAAAAGCTAATCGTCTAGATTGATCAATTGTTTAATGACGCAAATAAATCTAGTCATACAAAAAAAAAACGATTTATAATACATATCTATCTTGATAACAATTTCTAAAAAGAGTCACTAAATAATACACTGCTATAGTGAAATATATGTGAAAAAGTTGGCATCGAAATTCTTTTTTTCTATTTATTTCCGCAAATCATTTTTTACAGAGGATCCCATAAACGAACAGGAAGGTCCTTTTAAAATTTAAGTAAATATTTCTCGCTGATTATTTACCGTATAAGCGTGAAATAGCGCGCAGGGGTGTAATTTCGAGTTTTGGCCTAAATTAAGCCTAATTCGGCCCATTATTCAAAATATCGCCAGCCCCTGTATGTTATTCGTGCTTATACGATAACTAATTTCAGTGAACTTTTTTTATTTTAATTATTAAAATAATAATAATAAAATTTTTATCGAATTTGGTTCGATAGTCGCGGAGAAAACTTTGCTTAAAGTTGAAAAATAAGTTTGAAAAAAAGCATTTTTCAAGATTTTTCAATGGCTATCTGATTAAATTTGATGAAATTTTTTATACAATTAATTCTACATGTTTGGAAAAAAATTATCGCAGCTTCTTTTCTGTAAGTATAAAAAACTTTACACGAAATTTTCTCCATGATTATCTAACCAAATTCGATGAATTTTTTTATTTCAATTTTATAGAGTTATAGAATAAAAATAAAAAAAATCTCATTTGATTTAGTTAAATAGTTATTGAGAAAACTTCGTATAAGGTTTTAGTATCTAATAAAAGAAACTGTGGGAAATTTTTTTTTAGAACTTCAAATAAATGTTTCTCAATGACTATATCCAATTCAATAAAAAGTTTTATTCCAATTCTACAAACATGCAGAATTAAAATAAAAAAATTTCATCGAATTTGGTCAGGTTATCGAGAAATTTTCGTTTAAAGTTTATCATTATTTTTTTTTTTTTCTTATGGTTTAAATTTTTTTTAGCTTTAACTGTAAATTTCTCGATAATAACCTAACTAATTCAATGAATATTTTTTATTTTAATTTTGCATATGCGTAGATTGAAAAAAAATTGGTTTATTGAATTTGAATAGGTGGTCATTGAGAAATATTTATTTGAAGATTTGAAAAAAATTCACCGTAGCTATACATGGGTGCCTAAATTATTTTTGAAAAATCGATTTTCGCCAAACATTTCGGCGTTGCTAATTTTTTTATATGAAACCCTTCGAAATAACTATATTATATGATGTATTTTGATGAAAAGAGTTCAAAAAATTTCGGAAATAATTTCGGCAAATATGAAAATTAATTCCGGCACTATATAAGACGAATTTTGGCCGTAATTACTTTATTATTAAGATGGGCAATTTGGGCACTGAGAGAGTGTAGACTTGATCGGAATCGGGAAAATCGGGTGATATGGATATCAATCTACACTAAAACTATCTAGCACAACTCTAAACAACTACTAAACTCTATCAACCCTAATAGTGGAAGGCACGAAAGAAGGCGTGAAAAGACTTGTCCGAGTTATTAGGGCAAAATAGGGCTCTAGACTATGTCACGAAGCTCTAATTCAGAATTTCGGGAAGATAGATAGATAGATAACACAATAAATAACAACAATGTGTAAAGACTATCAACAATTTTTCATCGTTAATACAAAGCCCTACCTTCTAACTCCCTTTAAACAACCCAAACTCCTAGTTAGTGTATATAAAATAAATATATTTTATATAGGGTGATTTGAAATTACAATTCCGTCAAAGCTCACCCACTTTCAACCTCCAAAGGCTCCCCTAAAGTTAAACAGGCCAATCAGAATGTTTATTAATTTTTGAAGATTTAACAAATCACGCACTTGTAGCCAACCAATAATAATAGAATTATTTTGTAGTATAATACGTATAGTGTTTGTTTAAATTGATTCCCCCTCTTACCACTGCACTTAAACTTCATAAAGGAAGGTAGACGAAATTAGAATTTCAAGTGGCCTAATAAATATTTCAAAAATTACTTTGATAGTTTAAAGTTATAAATTTTTTCTTAACCTCTGCAAATTCGTTCTCGTGACGATGAATCCATTTTTGAGTTGCGAAACGTTACGCTAATACGTAGTGAACAAGTTTGTGTAACATTTGACCTTCCAGATTTTAACTTTTCATTATCGTACAGTACGCTCGTATATATTTGCTTACTATCCTTAAATTTCATAAAAGATTGACTATACCTTTGTAGCAATAGAATTAAAACTTTATGAGAGTAATCTGAAAAAAAGATTTTAAATATAATTAAAATCATGTCTATAGCAAAATGGAAGCATGTGAGTAGTCATGTTTACGATGTAATTTCATCACATAACGAAACATATTGAAATTTTAGCATCTGTGAAATTAGCACCAGAGTTTTCTGAACGATTGGAAGCATATTTAAAATCACAAACTATAAAAAGGTTTGATTATTCGCAATTTAGAGATGTTAAACGTATTGGCGAGGGTGGTTATGCAGTTGTTTATTCGGCAGCTTTCAATGGACAGACCTATGCATTAAAAAGTCTAAATAATAATTTGAAATTTGAAAGAAAAGAGTTCAAACAATTTAAACATGAGGTAAGTAGTACGCTTAATTATTACTCATTATTAGAATCTGAACTCTCACTATCTTAAATTAAACATAGATTAAGTGCCTTTATACGATTGATAATCATCAAAATATCATTAAGTTCTATGGAATATCTAGAGGCAAGAATTAATACTTGGCAATATAAAATTATTTACTAGGAAAATTATCCTCCAGAATTATGTTGGACGTCTAGTAAATTTTATTCATAAATTCTACATAGTCCCGGAGGATATTTTTCTAGCAAAAATTCCATGTGTTGCCGATCTATAAGCAGGAAAAATATCAAAATCCGATGATATTAATCTGTGTAGCTTGGTATAATTCAAATAATCGCATTGGAATGTTTGAATAATATCAAAATATCCTAAGGTTTTGTAAAAGGGTTAATTGGACAGTAATAAGTAGTATTAGAGTGTGTTTCATGAGTGCACATGAATCTTCATTCTTACGCATTAATGCGCATTCATGCGTATTTTAACCCAACAAGATATTATATAGGAAAATCAAAGTATAAATAAGTTAGGCCAGGTGTATAATGCCGGGCGGAATTAAGAAATAGGAAAGTAAAAGTTCCGAAAAGAAAATACATAGAAGAGAAGGGTCGGACAAAAATTTGAGCAAAGTTCCGATACTTTTCGAAGGGAAAATATAAAATCAAAAAATTATATTATGCGATATCATGCGCATTAATGCACATTTTTCCCATCATTAGGTAATATACGTTTGTTTGCAGTGGAACATATTCAAAATTTTGGCAGTTTCAAGTAAAATATGGGTTACTATACTATCGAATTAACCTTAACCTATTGGATTTTGTATCATTTTTCTAATAACAATCCCAACATAATTTTACAATGAAGTATCTTACATTTGATTCAAATTTTAGATTTTGCGTCGAGAAACTTCATGCTGGTACTACAGTTAATGATGGGTGACGCTGCGCGACGCAACATTGTCGCGTTAAAACCAGGAACGTGATATAATTACAATATGGGCACTAAGTACGACACTACAGGGTCACTATATACCTAAGTAGGATCACATGAAATTCTATTTTGGTAGGAGTGATTT